GGTTCAGACCGGTTTGGTCGGACGTCGGAGCTGCTCATGAGATTCTTGAGCCGCTCGTTAGCCTCGCCAAATGTTTTGGCGATAGAATCGAGGGAAACCGACAGAGATTCCGGCGGTTTTTCCGGTAAGTTTGATTCGAGTTCCTTAACCAGCTCGAACCCATGAAAGATCATTGCCATGATCTCTTCCATATCGTGGGATTAATCCGTGATTATAAGTTTTGGTTCGAATGTATGTATTTATATACACACACGCATATATATATATATAATATACTTTTTGGTTTCTACTTTTGGGTTTTTTTCCCACCTCGTTATATATATATATATAAAACTGAGGGATACGTAAATATAAGTTAGCTTCTGTGTTGGTTCCATTTTTATTGACAAAACGGAATTAGCAAATTATTCAAAGAGTCAAATTTTCCTTAAAAGTGACGTATAAATCATTTTCGGTTGTGAGTTTCTGTGTTGGTTTCATAGAAATTTAGCAATTTTCATACCAAAAACAAAGTTTTTTTAAAACAAAAGAACAAGTCCAAATCATTAGCATTGGACCGTTTTTCACATATTCTAAATTTCATATTTTTATCGACATTTAATGAATTATTTGAGAATATATAAATTCAAAATGTTTAACCATAAATTTTGTTTGGATATATATATATATATATTCCAAATATGACTGAAAATTTACACATTGATCAGGTCGTAAATGTGGATTTTAACACACGGTAGAGGAGCAAGTAAAATAAATTGACCAAGTCATGGGTCTTCTCTTGATTAGAGGAAATCTATATCTAATATTTTGATTTTCAACATTAGAAAGATTTGTTACAAAGTCTAGGCGAAGACTCATGGCTTGAATGTTGAAACAATTAAATACGCAAGACACACATTTTGGACCCACGTCGATTCGAAATTTCCAAGGCGTTGAAACTGCACATACATACATGTATACATATATATTTATATACACACCACGTCATTGACTTCAACACAAAACTTAATTTTTTTTCCCATATTCTAGAATATGTTTACCATATAACATTTAATATTGCTTGAATTTAATCGCATCAATTTAACATGTACATATTTTTTTTTTTGTCGCGTTTAACACACACACACACACACACATATATATATATATGTAATATAATATAAAGTTAAGAACTTGGCTGATTTTGGAAGCGGAATATCCGTACTGCATGATAATGGGAAATATCTCTGTATGCGCCGAGACTAAGTCCATATAGTCCGTCTTCCTTTGTTAAATCGATGATTTAAAACCCAAATATCTAACCGCGACCAATCCAAGTAGTTGACTCGGACCCAATCGAGAACGTTGTCGGAAGAAAAGACGCATGAATTGGGTTTGTGTTTTTTTTTGCAAAACAAAATATATATTTAGTTGTTGTAAAAATAATATTCCACAAAACTATTCTTAAAAATAATTAAAATCATTAATTACGTAAAGTATAATAACCAAGGTCCAAGAGTCTCCCTCAAGTCTAATATCTTTTCCCTTTTTTTCGTAGGTAATTAAAGAAATCTATATAAGCATTTCAAAGTTCATAATGTTTTAAGTTTGAAATTTCATAATTCAAAACTTATGTTTATGTAACTGCGAGGCAGTTGGATTGTTAAATATGTCGTGATTATTAAACGCGTGATCAAATATTTAAGGTCCATCTTGTCACTTCATTTTTTTGTTTTCATTGTATTCATATATATATATATATATATTTCATAAAATAATAACGAAATTAAATTTTCCGAGAAAAAAAATAAACCCTTCTAATGGGCGAACGCGAAAGTGTAAAAAATATATGGGTCAGAGCCCGGGCCATGGGCTACAAAACGCCCACATATAAAACTCACGGCGTTTCCCAGGCAGAAAAACCACAGGAAGTGCGTTACTGTTTCCACAAAACGGCAGCAGAGTCGCCCCGTTTTGTTCATCGTCGTAATTCAGACAAACCATTCAGGAAATCGCCAGGATTGAAGAGCAAATATTAAAAATCGGGGCTATCGCTTTTTGTTTCTCCGCTTGGATCAAATCATTGTTCTTCAGTTCCATATCGATCCATTGGTCCGTTCGAACGGAATAGCCTTCCTCTGCCTCCGGATTGAGACACACACATAGGTACGAGGATGTTCAAGTTTTTGAAGGGGGTGGTGGGTGGATCTGGTACGGGCCTCAAGGATCTGCCCTACAACATAGGCGATCCGTACCCTTCTTCTTGGGGCTCATGGTCTCACTTTCGTGGAACATCCAAGGTAATGTACCGATCTGTGTTTTGTATGTGTTTACTGCTTTACTTCCTGTTGCTTGGTTTTGATCTCAGCTGTTACTTCCTGTTGCTGGGTCAGCTTTGATTTCGGTTTCTGATTACGATTCTGGGGTAGTTCAGTGTTACTTGAATCTGAAATGAATGGTAATTCATTTGGGTTTTCCCCAACTTGTTAGTAGATTCTGTTTGCTATATTTCGTGATCCAGCAACTTTTACCTCTGTTTTCTGTTCAGTAGTTGATGTCAGTTTAGGGGGAGTGTGATGATCATTCATTCTCATGATAGATAGTGTTGTTCTTGGATCTTTCTGTTTGTGAGTCCGCCGAGAAATTTGAGATTTGTACTTCTTTCGCTCGTCGATTATTCCATGAGTTGAACTCTTGACTGACTGAATATGTTGTGGGAGTAAGGTGGATTAAGCTCCTAGGAAGGTTATTATGAGTATACTCTCTGGTCATATCCTGCAATGCCTCATGTAGCACGCGTATATGCCTTAGATTTTGTCCCCTTTATGCATAGTCTTTACTTCCCTTTTGCCTTCTTTACTTTTTTAGTTTAGAACGCATCATGATGAAAATCTCATTGTTGAAATTGGTGGTATCTTCAGGATGATGGATCCCCTGTTTCAATATTTGCTCTTAGTAGTAGCAATGCTCAAGATGGACATTTGGCTGCTGGGCGAAATGGTGTCAAGCGCCTTCGTACTGTAAGTTATCGACATAGATGTGCATGGTTTTGGCTCAGATTGTACAAACATGATGTTCTTCTTCCAGTATATGTTTGGTCATTGATAGCCACTTCTCTCAAGCAAGAAGCTTTAAACTTTTGTAACACTGCATAACTTGCACCGTTGGAGCTTTTATTCACCAGAAGAATGGACTATGGCTCCCTTTTATTTTTGTGACCGTAATTTCTAATCAGTTTTTCATAGCTCTGTCCTTGTTGCCCTTTTGTTACATCAATTAAATGGTCAGTTGAAGTTCAACTGAGACATGCACACTCTT